AAATGGAGATTTGGCTTTAATATTTAAAATGCGAGGAGGTGACGGTGGTGAGCGACACACAGGATTTCTTAAAAGAAAAGATGTTTTCGTTATTTCTTCCAATGGCAATTTTAAAAAAATCATGTCCTCTGGAAAGCGGTGCTCCTGGTAAGTGCCCAGATGGTGCACAACAGCCAGAGTGTGAAAATAATTGCAAAAAGGGAAAACGGATCCCATGACTCATCGTGGTCCAAGCTGAATGAAATGCAAAACAAAAAACGGTATAAACAAGGTATCTTGTTTTAAAAATCATGTTTAAAAATCTCTGCTGGGGCAAAGATAACCATAGGGAGGTGAAGACTGGTGTCACAAAGGTTGTGTCAAGAGGTGGGAGAAAATTTGTTCTTCTTGGCCTCTGAGGATAGGAGAAAAAGCAATGGGCTTAAACTTTAGCAAGGGAGGTTGAGGTTGGACATTAGGAAAAAGCGTTCTAACTAGCAGGGTGGTTAAACACTGAAATAAATTGCCTGGGGAGGTTGTGGAATCTCCATCTCTGGAGATATTTAAGAGCAGGTTGGACAGACATCTATCACGGATGATCTAAATGGTGCTTGGTCCTGCCGTGAGGGCAGGAGACTGGACTCGATGACCTCTCGAGGTCCCTTCCAGTTCTAGTGCTCTGTGGGTCTATGATTCCTGCAGCTCCCATTGGCTAGAAATGGAGAACCCCAGCCAGTGGGAACTGCAGGGCCATATCTGAAGATGGACAATGTCAGCTACATGTCTCACGGATCACAGGTGGCTGGTTGGCTGCCACTGTTCTACATGAAGAGTGCAAAAAAACTTCGGTCTGCATCACCCTCTTCCTGTGAGGAGGATAGAGAGATGGGAGGTGCAAATTGGCATAGCTCATTGAAGTGGCAGATTTATGGCAGTTTAAGGGTCTGACCCAGGACCCTATGAAAAGTTTTAGTGATCTTTGCATCATGTGCTAAACCTGCTGAGGATTTTGGCCTGCAAGGGCTTTTATTTTATTTTTCTATCTCACTCATGACAAGAAATAGGACTATGTAGCACTTTGAAGACTAACAAGATGGTTTATTAGGTGATGAGTTTTCGTGGGCCAGACCCACTTCCTCAGATCAAACAGGGGAAGAAAATTGTCACTTCTTCCACTATTTGATCTGAGGAAGTGGGTCTGGCCCACGAAAGCTCATCACCTAATAAACCATCTTGTTAGTCTTTAAAGTGCTACATAGTCCTATTTTTTGTTTCAGCTATACCAGACTAACACGGCTACATTTCTATCACTAATGACAAGCACCTTCAAAACAGAGAGGAGTTTAAAAAGTCATTTAACCTTCCCTAACTGTTCTCTGCAATGTTTGTCTCATCTGTATTCCTGCCTTCGTCAATATTCTGGGGGACATTTATAAGCCCCCAGGGAATTTTGAATTTGTAATCTGGAAATTGGAAGATGCATGTCTATAATATTTGCATGGGTACATATTTAAATATGATTCATATGCATACATTAATTTGATTAATTTTTTTGCACTGGCTAAGCATTATTGGAATTCATCACTGAAAGCAGCTCACGCAGTTGTTTTTTGTGTCTATGAAATTGACCCGGAAATATTTTGATGGTATACCTTCAATAGTCAGAAAGATGCTTGAGCTTTTTAGTTGGTGCACTCTTTGTCTTAAAAATAGCGAACTCCCACTACAACCTACCTGTGATATGCTGTGCTTAACTGATTTCATTTTGATAGTGCTGTAAGCTGGTCTCTGATAATTGCCTTCTGTAATTGGAACAAATTTATGATTATGCTAATTCATCCTCAGCCACCCAATGTAGGGAAGCTGAGCTAATCCATATCTGCCCTCGCATTTCTTTTGTAGATCATTACGTGATTAGCCTTTGGTCGAAACGGATGGGGACATTTTAATTCTGAACAGGCCTCATTCAGGGGAGGGGGAGCCTTTTTATGTAAAAACTTAAGTTGCATTATAGACAGCCATTCTGAAACTTAGTTCATGAGTCAAGCATTAAAAGATCTTCAGACAGTCTAATCCTTAAAAAGGGAGCTATTTTCAGTGCATTATAAGCAATTGCATGACATCCGCTGGTGATAAAGCAAGGGAAGTTAAATGCTCATGAATTTTAAGTCAACTCTTCAGAGACCCCAGGTTAAAAATTCAGAGTTAATGTTTCATTTGTATATGGAAATGTGGTGAATTATCTCACACCTTTGGTTTTTTGTGCCCTTTGAGGAAACTTTATCTACAGGGACCCTAGATCACTGGAAATGGTAAAAATACAACAAGAAAAAAGCCAAGTAAGCTGTTCATCCTTGAAAGAATTGCTTTTGAAAGTCCCGCTGCTTCAGAAGTATTCATCAGATATGGGATGTCTTTCCCAGTTTAAAGATAGCACTTTTCTGGGAGAAGGGGCGGGGGAAGGGTCTTGCAGGGGTGGCTAGTATCAGTGAGTAGAATTCACAGCACTGTAAAATATGCAGATAGAAAGCAAAAGGCACTGCCCGCCCTTGCTTACAAATCATCTGTTGATGGCACATCTCTCAGTGCTCCAACGTTTATGTTCCGTCTGTTTAATGTTCTCCCTCCGCACTGATCATCATTCTTTTAAATGCTTTGCATTAATGTAAACGTTTTTCATGCGCAATCCCGGGCTCGGTAAACAATGGATCACAGTGCATGCTCTCTCCCTCTCTCCTGGAAAATATTGAGCTGTCGAGAGGAAAAATAGCATGAGGCCCAAAAGTGCTGCTTCAACAGAAACCAGGAACTAAAAAAAATAAATAAATAAAATAACATTGGTCTGATGAAAGAGTCAAAATGTAAAATATGAACAGTTGTAAAATCGTGAACTCCCAGCCTGCACTGACACTATTCACGTTTGTCATTTCTTTTAATGTTACTAGGCATGTTTGTCATTTTCTTGCACATAAAGTGAATATAGTTCTGACTGTGACCAATGGGATTCTGGTCTCAAGCTGGAGTTCCGCAGTCGAACGTGGATTCCTAGTGTCTTTGATGAGACGTAGTCTGATGACAAGTGTTAAAGTTAATTGCATAGAAGAAAATGAATAGTAGGTGGGTTTCAATTCCCTTGATAGTTTCCTACCTCACCCAGACTACAGGGAACTGAAAGAAATGCATCTGAATTATTGAAGGGGGAAGACTATAATCAAAAAAAATCTCTACATGGTAAAAGAAGGAAGGCTAGGCGCTAAAGCTAACGATGAGGAAAACACCTTAACAAGTATGTTCAAATATTGCCTACACATCCAGTGTGATTCCAGAGAAATGAATAAGCCAAAATTGAGCTGTGGTAAAAAACATTGATAAAAGGCAGGTGGTTCGTTTCAGGGGTATACATCATCTGAAACACCAAGGAGGATAAATTTAATGAGTAGTATTTATGTCTATAGCTATGTGATTCTAATCATGACTGACCAGTAGATATCGAGGAGGTGGCTTCTAGTTAATCCAAAATAGCTTATTTCAAAATAGCACGTCTACACTGCAGGGAAGCCTCAAAATGAGTCAGAGGCAGGCTTCTCTAATGTAGATGGGCTATCTTGATTTAGAGCCCCAGAAGGCACTGGGGAGGAATAATTTAGAATGGCGCTGGTGAGAGGCTAATTCGAAATAGCAGCAGTGAAGCGTCTACGCACACCTTATTCCGAAATAGCTATTTTGGAATAGGCATTATTCCTCATAGAATGAGGTTTACAGGTTTCAGAATAAGCCGTCCGTTATTTTGAAATTATTTAAAAATAATGGAATGGCTGTGTAGACACTCACATAGTTATTTCAGAATAATGGCCATTAATCCAAAATAAATTTTCTGTGTAGACCTACTTGGATGGGATAGAACATAACTTCAGTCCTCACCCACCTTGTGTACATAGTCGGTTTGGTCCCAAACACAGCACACAAATGCACATCCCCAAAACTGTCTTTAAGTTTCCATGAAAGAGATTAAGGAAAAATGTTAAATAATGGTCAAGGCTGAAAGACGGGAAAAAAACCCATAATAAATAGAACGATTACGGGCACATTATGAGTACCTAGATCTATAGAGGTGCTTTGAATCCTTAATGCTAAACTTAAACAACAGTGCTGTATCTCTAACTCCGCTTGCTGTGATTTCTTTTTTGCTTAATAGCATGTATTAAAAATAGGGGAGGGAATGTCCCCCCAAGCTTTCATTTTTCAGCTGTTGTGTTTATTAAATATGCGACCTGATTCAAATGGAAATCTGATTCATTGTATATTAGCCAATACATGTCCTATATCCAACGGTATCTCAGAAGAAAAACATTGCCATAGACCCACACCGCCTTCCAAGGCTGGCTGCCATTGGACGGTGCCATGTTTCCGGGAGGGCAGGGATGATATCAGTTGCCCACCTTCTGTCCTCAGCCTACCAAAATGACTAACCGTATTGGAAGGGGAACCTGCTGTCTGGCATGAAATCTAATTGGCTTAGCTGGTCTGCTTTTGCAGATTTGTTTATCAACTGGAAAAAATCTACAAATTGCAGACCATCTGCACAGAGCAGCGTGATAATGAATGCCTACAGATCCGCAAGCTCGTTACGTCAAAGTTGCAAGTCCTTCCATTAGTTCCCAACTGAGGTTATCCATCTGAACGGCAACTCGGAAGGGTATTTGGCTTCAGGATACAACCCTACCTCTCAGAGTCCGGAAAAAAAAAACCCAACCTACCCTGTCTGTAAAAATGAGACATGTTTGTTCCACCTCTTACCTGGATCTAAAGATTCTGCTTCTGTTTTCAGAGTATTCGTTCTGTAAAACACCAATTCACCATGCCTTAAATTAATGTGTCAGTCAAACCTTCCAAGCGGAGAAGCCCGTTTCTGCAGATGTGATCTGCAAGGGCCGTTATCCAGGAGGCAATGGTTGTATTTTCACTGTGCATCTTTCTCTCCAGCACGCTGGCTTCATTCTCTTCTCTTCTCCTCTCCCTAGGTGGAATGGCTTAAAAATGAAGAGCCCATTGATTCCAACCAGGATGACAACATCGACACCAGGGCAGATCACAACCTCATCATACGCCAGGCCCGGCTGTCTGATTCGGGCAACTACACCTGCATGGCGGCCAACATAGTGGCCAAGAGAAGGAGCATGTCCGCAACGGTGGTGGTGTATGGTCAGTGGAAAAGTGTAACAGCATTTACTGCCTGGCTTCCACGCAGCTATAACAACCAGTCAGTCACAAATCCCATATCCCTGGTCCCAGTGATGACTCCCAGTCCTGATCCTTAGCCCCCTGAATATGCGTGTTTGTACAGTGCCCAGCATAATGAGGTTCTTGTCTGTGATAAAAAGTCTCCGAGGGGTCACCGTGTTAGTGTGTAACTTAAAATAAAAAAAGAGTACTCCTGTGGCACCTTAGAGACTAACAAATATATGTCTAGTATCATGAGCTTTTGTGGGCACAACCCACTTCTTCAGAGGAGTGGAGCAAAAAGTAGAAAAAAAAATCCCAATTCAAAGCAAAAAAAGAAGGCAGAGGGGGAGGAAAAAAAACTTGTCAATTATAGTGCTGGAGTTAAAAGTTTTTCTCCTTTTTGCTCCACTCATCTGAAGAAGGGGGCTGTGCCCATGAAAGCTCATAATACAAAAAATACATATAGTATCATGAGTTCGTGAACATGAAACTCACTTCATCAGATGATGAACCGGGGAGGAATAACAGAAACCCAAGTATTTTATAACCAAAAAGAAAAAGCACCTGCCAATTGTACAAGCGATGCTAATAAAACTGGCAAAGTGGGCTGGAAGTGTCCCATACTTAGCTTGTGATGTAAAAATGAGGTGTTAAATGCAGGGCGGGCTGGCTGTATAATGTGACATCCAGTTAAATGTCTTTGCTCAAGCCCATTGTCACATTTGCAGATGAATGTCAGTTCCGCATTCTTGCTCGGTAATTGGCTGGTGAAATTCCTTTGCAGAAGAAGGGCTACTTCTAAATCCAGGACTGAGCACCCAGGCAGGTTACAATGTTCCCCTCCAGGTTTCTGTCTGTTACCATTCCTCATGTCTGATGTGTGTCCATTTCTCTTTTGTCGTAGAGACTGTACTCTTTGGCCAATATACATGGCAGAGGAACATTGATGGCACTTATCTGTGATGAGGGCTTCCTGTCAGTACCAGTGGACAAATAATAAATAATCCGTGTGCCAGTTGTTAATAATGGCCACTTTAAGGGTACGTCTAGACTACAGGCTTTTGTCGACAGAGGCTTTATCGACAGATACTGTCGACAAAGCTTCTGTCTCCAAAGAGCATCTAGACTGCTTTCCGTTCTGTCGACAAAGCAAGCTGCTTTGTCGACATGAGAGTGTAGACACAAAGGACAGTGTAGATGCAATAATGCCTTCTGTCGATAGAACTCTGTTGACAAAAGGCGTTATTCCTCACAGAATGAGGTTTACCACCATCGACAAAACTGCTGAGTTCTGTTGACGTTATGTCAACAGAACTCAGTGGCAGTGTAGACGCAGGTATAGTTTTGTTGACAAAAGTCCACTTTTGTCAACAAAACCTTGTAGTTTAGACACACCCTAAGTCTGTCTAAAGATATAAGTCTTACATATGATGTTCTTAGGGCCCTGATTCACCCGAACACTTAAGCACTAAATAACTATTCTGAATAATGATCTGCTTGGGTGTTTCCCTTACTAGATCTCTGTAGCACTAGTTAATGAATCGAAATCTTGTGTGCCACAGGGAGATGAAGCAGAAACACTTGTTTTCACCATTCCCGTTGTTTACCATGTTTGTTAAATCGGAGAGTGACATTTTATTGATGAACTCCAAGGCATGCCTCAGCCATCCCTTATCCAAAAAAAAAGGATTGTGTTTATCTTTTAAGTCAAACATGTTTGAAGGGAACGGGGAGGCAAGTACCTCAATTCTCTTCAGAGTCTCCCTGTCAGTCATTACACCTTTTGGCATATAAACCCACCAAAGGCAAACACAGCATTTCTCTGACACGGCGTCCTTGGTGTAATTGCATCCTGATGCTATTTAGTTGCTGGTGCTCCTATTTGGGCTTGGAATTTACCTTTCCGAATATATTTAAAATCTGAGAACAAAGGGATCGGGAAATAAAGACTTGCTGCGTATGACTTGCTGTGTACCCATAACGCTGCGCGTGTGTGTTGCAGTGAATGGAGGCTGGTCGTCCTGGACCGAGTGGTCTAACTGCAACGTGCGGTGTGGCCGAGGCTGGCAGAAGCGTTCCCGGACCTGTACCAACCCTGCTCCGCTCAATGGGGGTGCTTTTTGTGAGGGAATGTCAGTGCAGAAAATTACCTGTACCTCCCTTTGCCCAGGTGAGATATCCGAGTCTAACTTGTAAATGTCACACTGAGACAGCATTCGCTCTATCTGAAGGACACGGGGACTGCATGTGCTGTGCAGAGCCACTGAGATCAAAGGGGGAACAGGAAGGCATTTGTTTGTGTTTAGACAAAAGTTCATATCCTGTGCATTTTATCTTTCTGTGCAATTGCAAAAGACGTTCCAGACTTCTGTGACCGGAGCTGGTTGGGTGTATGGTGCCCAGCGAATTCATCTGGCTGCTTTGCCACTGAACAATGCTTTGATCTATATATAAAAGTAGAGGTTTCCACATATTCAAGGACAGGTACCGCGTAAAACTGTGCACAACACTTCAGCACTTACCTCCTACATTTAAGGCTTTGTGAGCCCTCAGGTCACAAGGAGTAAATAAAGGATGGTTTGGTTTTTAAATGCTTTGCTTTAAAATGCATTTTACCTTTTTATACCAAGCTTGAGTTATTACTAAAACACACTTATGTCCCTTGTTTCAATGTATTTCCTCTCTTTATCATCTGAAACACTACAGCCGGTCCCCGAGTTGAAAACGGTCAACTTATGACCGTTTGCAGTTACAGCCGAAGCTATTGTAAATGGTGGACCCCGAGTTACGAATGCAATCCGCACTTACGAACAGCGCGGTCACGTGTAACTCTATGGGGTCTGACTTACGAACGAACAGAGTTACGACCAATTGCTTGCTCCGTAACCGGTTCCTAAGTCGGGAACAGGCTGTATTTGTATGATTTTAGGGGAATGGAGGATGCCCAACACGGGGGTAAATGGGTGTGTGTGTAATTTTAAGATTAACTCTTTTTGTGGCCTGACTAATCTCCTTTAAAGTGGGATTCTTTTCATTAACTTTGATGGGCTTTGGACCCAGCATTTACTGATCTGGGATTTAAAAGAATCTTATGTTCTTCTAACTTTCCTCTCATCTAAGTTATGTGTGAGATGTGTAGATGGGACCAAGGGGGTGTGTCTACACAGCACCCAAAACGCAAAATAAAATATGCAAATTACGTAGCTTATTTCGAGCCTATTTCAAAATAGCTTATTTTGGCATTTGACACTATCTACACAGCGCCAAATTTCGAAATAAAGCGCTACTTTGAGCCATCCTTTACTCCTTGTAGAATCAAATTTACAGGGATGGCAAAATAACGTGTCTGCTATATTTCAAAATAGCAGACGAGTTTAAAAGACGAGAGGTGGCTATTTTGGAATACCGCTGGTGTCCCGAAATAACTTGGCTGTATAGACATACCCCTGGGATACTTTTTAGATGTGAGCAGGGATGGAGAAAAGATAAGACAGAGGCATACTGAGTCCAGATCTCACTCAGGGCATTGAAGGGAAGCCACCAAAGCCATCTGTGCTGTTTTTGTAAATGTCAGTTCTGTTCCTGTGTGAAGCCTCCACATACCAGCCCCCTTGGAGCTGAATTTTGGATGAGCACAAGGAGCTAATAGCTGCATTATGTGGACATATCCATCAGAGTCCCTCTTGCGTTTTTTCACTGGCTGTAGGTGGTGTTTACTTCCTGTCCTGAACTGTTAGGTGCTTCTGCAGTGCTCTGTTTATGCTGTGTCTGCACTAGTGGCGTCACAGTGGCTGAGCCATTGTAAGAGCGCTAGCACAGCCACTCTACGGTGATGGGAGACAGCCCCACTGTTGGCACAAATTAAACCAGTCTTGACACATGATGGTAGTTACCTTGTGTGGGAGAGCATCTCCTGCCGAGGTAGCACTGTCCACACCGGCGCCTCTGTCTGTGTAACATATGTAGGTCAGGAGTGGTTCTTTTCACACCCCTGAGCAAGGTAAGTTCATAAAATCATGGAATCGCAGGGCTGGAAGAGACCTCAGGTGTCATTGAGTCCAGCCCTCCTGCCCCAAGCAGGGCCAACCCCAACTCAATCATCCCAGCCAAGGCTTTGTTAAGCCGGGATTTAAACACACCTAGGGATGGAGATTCCACCCCCTTCCTAGGGAACCCATCCCAGTGCTTCCTCGCCCTCCTTGGGAAATCGTTTTTCCTAATATCCAGCCTAGACTCCCTCACTGCAACTTGAGACCATTGCTCCTTGTTCTGCCATCTACCACTACAGAGAACAGCCTCTCCATACTCTTTGGAACCTCCCTTCAGGAAGTTGAAGGCTGCTATCAAATCCCCCCTCACTTTTCTCTTCTGCAGACTAAATAAGCCCAAATCCCTCAGCCTCGCCTAGTAGGTCGTGTGCTCCAGATCCCTCCTCATTTTGGTTGCCCTCCACTGGACCCTCTCCAATGCATCCACATCCCTTTCTATAATGGGGCCCCAGAACTCCAAATGTGGCCTCCCCAGTGCCAAATAAAGGGGAATAATAACTTCTCTAGATTTGCTGACAATGCTCCTCCTAATGCAACCTAATATGCCATTGGCCTTCTTGGCTACAAGAGCATGCCATTGACTCATATCCAGTTTCTCATCCAGTGTCATCCCCAAGTCCTTTTTTTCCAAACTGCCGCTTAGCCACTCGGTCCCCAGCCTCTAACAATACTTAGGATTCTTCCATCCCAAATGCAGGACTCTGCACTTGTCCTTGTTGAACCTCATCAGATTTCTTTTGGCTCAATCCTCTAATCTGTTTAGGACACTCTCAACCCTATCCCTGCCCGCCAAGGTATTTACCTCTCCCCCTAGCTTAGTGTCATCTGCAAACTTGCTGAGGGAGCAATCCATCCCCTCATCCAGGTCATTAATAAAGATGTTGAACAAAACCAGCCTAAGAACCGATCCTTGGGGCCCTCCACTTGACATGGACCACCAACTAGACATTGAGACAAGTTTTACTGCCAAAAACACAAGTATAGATATAGCCTTTGAAAGATGCTGTGTTCTACCTCAGAGGTGGCTCCATTTCAGTGGTGGATTATATGTCTCCCATGTTATATGCACAAAACTAGAACCCTAAAGGTCTGTAGGATCTTTCTGGATAATAGATGCTAGATACATGTCACACAGCACAGCCTGCATCTTTAAAACCAGTATTCTGTTGGTCTTATCCAGAAACACACAAACCTGAACACACATCTCTTGAGTTTAATAGTTTGTTCTCCAGTTGAGCAGGGTTCTTAGGTATCTTTAGACCACCTCAACAGCCAGTGGAATTCAGCAGAATCTAATCATACCAGCTGGTCATTTAACTCATATGGATAATGTGTGTTTTTCTTCCTGTTTAGTGGACGGTAGTTGGGAAGAGTGGAGCGAATGGTCCGTCTGCAGCCCGGAATGTGAGCATTTGAGAATTCGGGAATGTACAGCTCCACCGCCACGGAATGGGGGAAAATTCTGCGAGGGCTTGAGTCAGGAATCTGAGAATTGCACCGAAGGGCTTTGCATTCAAGGTAGGGGTTGCGACAATAACCCGTTGCATGAACAGCGATCTGCATTTCCCTCGGAAAGCTGTCCTGTGGCGTGGGGCTCTAGAATGCAGCACCATGCCTCACATGCAGCTGTCTCATGGCTGAAAACTGCTCAGAAGTTGGAATTCATTTTCCAGGAGTTGTGTATCTGCCAATTTGAAATTCACTTGACTCTTGGCTCCTCGTTATGGCCTGAGGCAAAGCCCCCTGAAGTCAATTATGAGGCTCAATCTGGCATCAAGAGCCTCTGGGTTAGGCCCATAGTGAATAATTTACCTGGGTTTAGGAAATGTAACCTGTGCAGGCCAGACACATTTCATCTGTACAGCACCAGGTGATTCTGGTGAGCGCTGTCAAAATTCTCTGTACGTATAAAATTGTGCTCCAGTGAGTCATAGCGAAATGTATCTCACCGTATCGGAACACATCCTTATGCTTTTCACCTTGTCTTGGGATTAAATGGGTGAAGAACCAACATGTATCTTGTTGATTCCTTAGATATTCCAGGTCAGATTAGTGCTCCTTTGCATCTTTGTAACCCAATAAGATGTTGCAGGTATAACCAAGGGCTGATTTGGGCTCTGCATTTTAATGGTGACCTCATTGTAACAAGATCTTGACCCTTTTTTGAATGCTTGGAAAGCATTTAGCATATTATGATTGCCGTGATAACAACGAAGGAAACAAGAAAAAAATCAATGCTGCATCTGAAATATCAGCCTAGAAGTGCAGAAACTCAGGAACAGCTGCATATTCTTGACATAAATGAGAAATTAACAAGTTTGTTCCTCCGTTGAATTCAGTTACATATCTATGAACCATTAGTGCCACCTCGCCTTGTCCCTTTGTTCCCAAAGCTGCCCATTTATTGTGATAATCAGGAACTCGAGGAGTGAAATGAGTGAGTTGGAAAACAAACCAAGTTTGTTTTCTTTTTAGATAGAGTCACAGAAGATCAGGGTTGGAAGAAACTTCAGGAGGTATCTAGTCCAACCCCGGGGCTGAGCAGGGATACACCCAGTAAACTTGGACTTGTTTCTTAGCCTCTGAACTGTCCAAGTTCTCATGTTGAGAGACTAGACACACTTCAAGTGGGAGTATTTTCCATATCAAAGAACGAAAACCCGTCCGAGTCTGAATCTCACACACTGAGGTGCTTTCGTTAATTGACCAAAATGTGCTTTGTGAGTCTTTCTCTTAAGGACCCACCTTTAACCCTCATACACCTCTGCTGAGGTACCTTTCTTTGGCATTCCGACTAGAATCTGTAAGGACTGCAGCTTTAGAAAAGAGCTGGTTTATAAATCCCATCAGCAAAAACAGAAGGTTCTTGGGATGTGGGCTGTTCCGAATGGTGCATGTTACCTAAACTCATAGAAAAAAAAAAGTTTGACTCTTCCCACTTTTTCCAACAGCTACAAACCTGTTGAAAAAGCTACACTTTTTCCAACAGCTTTGTTGTCCTGAAGATAAAACAGATTTCCTTTAGAAGAGATTAGCACCTTTGATTTTGCAGAGATTTGAGTTGTGGAAATTCTATCATTGTGATTGAAAGCAAGGAAACTTCAGAATACAAAGAACCTGTTGCCAAACTATCTTCCTTGTCAGGAAATAAGATGATGATCATTAGTAATAATAAGTAATTAATAATAATAATTTAAAAGTGCAGTGTGCTCCAAGTGAGAGATAAGACCAGATTGTCCTGCATGGACACGGTATTTATTTTTTCTCTTACTATATTTAAGTGAAAGATGTCATATTGACAGCCCTGCAAGTCCTCTGTTTCTCCCCAGAAGATATGGTGCAGTTTCAGCTGGTTTTGCCTTATCCACAGACCCACCCCATTAATGTGCCCCAGTGCGTAGCAGGAAGAACTCTATTTCTCAGGGGTAAAAGGAGGTTCATATCCCAGGCCTATTCAGCCCCCCTCTTTCCCCAGCAGTGGTATCAGTTAATGGCATTGATGGGGGTTTACGATATGGACATTTATCTCACTCGGTGGTTCTCAAAGTGTGGTCCGGCCATGAGCTCAGGACTTGCCCCCCACCCCCAGCGGGGAGCCTGTGCTAATGTTCCAGCCTCCCCCCACTCTGAGGTTGAAGCACCAGTGCCAACTTCCCGCTGTGGGCAAAAGAGGAGGTGAGCCCCCTGTGAGCCAGATTCAGCTTGCAGAAGGAAGTAACTCTGCATGCTGTTGCTCGCCCTCCCTCTCCAGATAGGGAACGGCAGCACAGGAAACAGCTCAGCTGGAGGTTTTCCCCGCTGCTCCCATTGGCTGGAATCATGGCCAATGGGAGCAGTGCAGAGGCAGGGGTGGTGCCTGGGAGTGGTAGCAGGCACAAAGCCAGGTAAGCGCCACCATCTCTCTCCCTCCAGACCTTACACCCTCACCTCGCTCCTTCACCCCTGCTTCTTCCCTGACCCCTCACCACCACTCCTTCCTGCTTCCTTTTCATCATCCCAGGTGGTTGGCTGGTGCTCCGCAGAAAGGTCTGTATTGAGCAGGATGGGCCGCAGGCCAAAAAGTTTGAGAGCCACTGAGCTAACTAAAAACTGGAAAGAAGTTCCTTTCACAGCGGCTGCTCAGTAGCCGTGACTGGGCAAGAATGTTTGTTCAGTAATGACCTGATTTATTTACTTAATTTTCGTTAGTTGACTTTTAATTGGTTTGTAAATTCTCTGGGACAGGGACCATCCTCTCATTCTGTTTCATAGAGTGCCTCGCATGATGGGAACATGGTCCGTGCCTAGAGCCCACTGCCGCTCCTGCAGCACAAATAATAATTTTAGAATCTTGACCTTGTCTGGCTAATTGCATCACACTGAGCAGGAAAAAAAATAATTCACTGGAGTATAATTGCTTCCAGGCTCTTTCCTTTCCCCACTTCCATGTGGCTTAACATTTAGAGGCATTGCCTCTATACATTTGCTTTCTTTATACAATTCTTTTCTGTGAAAACAATGCAAACCTTTGTAGCCAGTGCAGGTTGAACCTCTCTAGTCCAGAACTCTCTGGTCCGGCAACACCCATGGTCTGGCATGATTCTAGATAGCCGGATGTGTTGCCTAGTTTCCCATAGTCCCATAAAGTTTGTTTACAGCCACCAGTCCTTGTTCTCAGTGTTCTGTGCTGTTACTTAACAGTAATTTACCCCCAATTGTCTTCAGAGGGTATAGCTCCACTATAGAGTTTTTTTCAGAAAAACAAATGTTTTTCTGAAAAAACGTCATTTATGTCCACACTGAAATCGCATTCTTTTGAAAAAAAATGAAAGAACAGAGGGGGTTTTCCAACACTGGCAAACCCCTTTCTATGAGGAAGAAGCCTTTTCCCAAAAGAACTCTTTTGGAAAAAGGCGTGTGTGGATGGGGAAGAGGGAGTTTTTTCGAAAGAAGAAGGAAGAGGAAAAAGCACAGGTGCCCTGGTGGTCACTCCATCTATAGTAATCACAGCTTAAATGTAAGATAGCATCCATTCAGTGTGAACGTTATCTTTCAAAAAAGCAGATCACTTTTTTGATGTGCTTTGGCACTGGAAGACGTTTTTTCGGAAGACCTCTTCTGAAAGAAGCCTGCAGTCTAGACGTAGCCTAAGAGCTCCGCAAGCAGTGGAAGTGTTGGTAATGCTCCTAGACAATAGCAACCTCCCATGGTTCAGCAAATTCCCTAGCTCTGCACTGCTGAGGTGCCGACTAGAGAGGTTCAACCTGTAAGTAACTAAACAGAGAGGTCTGGGAATAAACTGTAGCATAGCAAAAATCTTACATCTCTGAAGCAGATCAGATTTCTGCAAAGAGGACTTGGTGTGACTCTACAGTGCAATGCTGCAAAAAAACAAACAAAAAAACGAGGGAGGAAAAACCAAAGCAAATGTAATTTGGGTTGCGTTAGCAGAGGCATGGCCTGTAAGTCATGGAAGGTAATAGTACCATGCCGCTTGGCACTGTTTAGATCTCCGTTGGACAACTGTGTCCAATTTTGGTCGCCGTTATATAGAAAGGATGTGGAGAAACTGGAAAGCATCCAGAGGGGACCAACGCAAATGATCAAAAGGCTGGAAGACAAGCCCCAGGAGCAAAGGCTGAAGGTGCTGGGTATTTTAGTACGGAGAAGAGGGGATATGATACTTGAAAGGATGCTTTGAAAAAGAAGCAGTCATTTGGTCTCTTGCCACAGATGACAAGCAGCAGACAGTAGGCTCAAACTACAGCCTGCCATATTTCGATTGGATCTCGGGTGGGAGGAGGAGAGGGAGGGAACCTTCCTAACTATAAAACCAGTAGGACAATAGAACAAATTGCCTGGGGAAGTTGTGAAATCTCCTTCATTGAGGTTTTCAAGGATAGTCATCTATCTTGGATGGTTTAGATACAGCAAATCCTGAATGTTGGCAGGGGATTTGACGGGATGACCCTGTGGGCCCTTCTAGCCTTATGGTTCTATGACCCTATGATTTACAATGCCTGTAAAAGAGTGTACACAACGACTTTGAATGAGAAGCCCTTTAAGGAACATTGTGCAATACTTTAGGATCTAAAGGCAGGTTTTATTTAAAAAGAAAAATTCGGTGACAGTGGGAGAATAAGGTTTAAAAACCTTATGTGAATATTTTTAATATAATTTTACCATATGGGAATGGGCTGGGGATTTGTTTGTTTGCTTGGGGGGAGTTAATAGCCATTGTTGGGAGCAAGTCGCCACGACAATTATTTCTATTTCATGCATTTGAATGAGCAAACATGGTGTTCAGTGCAGCTTAGACAATGAAAAAGAACTAGCTATTTGAAAAGGAAAAATGGGATGAATGGTGAACACTAGATTACTAAAATTAATAGGCGTTTAAAATAGAAGACTATTGGGAATGCATGTATTGACATCAAAGTGATATTATTTAAAATGATCAGAATTAAACTCTTGGCTGGCACAGACTAGACTGCAAGCTGGGGGAAAATCTGTATTTGGTTGATTTCCACGCAAAATTTTTATGTTCTAGATCAGGACTGCTCAACATGCAGCCTGTGGCCCATTTGTTTGTGGCCCACGGTGCGGTTTGGGTTTACACAGGGCTCAACATGCAGCCCGAGGGTGGGATCCTTTGAACGTGGCACCTCCACTGGCAATACACTCCCCAACGGCAAGGCATGTCCTAGGCGGGGTGAGCGTTGAAAGACACAAGCGGACGGGCTGGCTGGAACAGAAGTTCTGACTGGCTCACACTGGCCACGTTTGGGTCCAGTGCCGTGGCTTAAGGCTTAATCTTTATATGCATGCCCGTCAGTGTGAAAGAAGCTATTTGCATATATTTGCATGTATATGCAACCACACTTCAATTGTGGCCCTTGGCATGTGCTGTGAGTATCATTGTGGCCCCCAGGGCTTCCAAAGTTGAGTAGCCCTGGTCTAGATTATGGACTACCACTCCTTTTGCAAGAAGAAAAGGAGTTAAGGAAACAGATTTTTTTTTGATGCAGCCATTAGTGATTGCTCCCCCACCATGGGGGTTAGAGACGTGTCCCTTGATGTTGTCTAGGAATAAATCTGAAGTAGCACAATTTGAAGCCAATTCTCTATATTATTAGTAGAGAGTGTTCTCATTCTCTATAACGAGTAGCTGTACTGAAAGTTGATCCTGCCAAGCTGTTGTAAGACAAAGGAGACTGAGCCCCATGGATTTAAAAGGATTTACTCCAGATTTATATCAGTGGAGCTGAGATCAGCTCTGACCCACGATGTGCTTTAGGTTTTAAATAGGTTGCTCTCCTGGTTTTGAAGGGATGGCAGGTGGCAGGGAGCATGCGTTTCTTCCAAAACTTGAATCTCCATATGTGTGTGTTCAATTAGACTGAAATATTAAGTGTCTCTTGTTTCTTTCATCTTGGAGTGTGACTCCTTGATAGGTCATTCTGTATGTATATAGTTATGTCAAATTATTTTTAGGGCCATAATTGCTTTCTCAGCTAATAGGAATTGATGCAATTATCCTGTCTGGGTTTTTTTATTTCTCTTCATATGCTTGTGTCTTTCCAGCTCCGCTTTACATCCCACAGGGAATTGCGGAGGAAATGCAGTGCAGTGCTTCAGAAAACTAATCTCTCGGAGGTTATTTATCTCAGGCACAAGTTGTTAACTTTGTTCCTTTCATGAGGCAAAAATAGAAATGAAACATTTCTGTGGTTAACAAGTATGGACTCTTACAAAGGCAAGGTGGGAAACTTATGTTGCATATAGCCCCCAGCAGGTAGGAAAAGTTCTAATCCTGAGAGAGAGTTTTCAAACTTTTATTCATTCAGTGATGATTGTAGTGACCAATCAGGGGCTGACTCTCAGGTTCTCGGATCAGTCCCAGGCAGGAGAAGCTGGAAGTGATATAGAGGAAGCATCTTTCAGTCCTTAAATGCCTCCTTTCTTCCCAACCTCTCCTCTGATTCTTGAAAAAACAACAAAAGGTCTGGTAGCACTTTATAGACTAGCAAAACATGTATGGCTGTAATCCATGGGATATGTAGATTGTAGTGGGTTTTTCACCCTTAGGCCCTTAGGGTATGTCTACAAAGCAAAGTTATTTCGAAATAACTTTCCTAGCGTCTACACAAGCCAACTGCTATTTCGAAATTAACTCAAAATAGTGGAGGGCTTATTTCGAAATTCGTAAACCTTATTCCATGAGGAATAGCGCCAATTTTGAAATTGCTATTTCGAAATAAGCGCTGTGTAGATGCTTACTTCGAAATAGGGGGCCGCCAGCCCTCCCCAGGGTGCCCTGCTGGCCTTAAATGTGATTCAGCATCCAATCAGTGCGGACGTGCTATTTAGGAATAGCAAAAAGCTATTTCGAAATGCATTTTGTGTGTAGACGCTTTATTTTGAAATTAGATATTTTGAAATAATGCTGTAGTGTAGACATAAGGTTAGGGCAGTGGTCCCTAGTGCGGTGCCCGCGGGCGCCATGGCGCCTGCTGGGCCATTTATGTGCGCCCGCAGAGCAATCTGGGCTGGCCTCACTCCCGGGCGTGCGACAGGTGCCAGCCCCACGCGCATGGGGAGGCCCCCCCCCT